TCAAAAAGTTTAACAATGAGTAAGTTAAACATTAAATAGCAAAACTGATGACACACCAATCAGAATCTCTGCATCCTAACAACGGAGAGAGGAGAGAGCTGAGCCAATCATCTACAGGGGTTTTATACTTACACATACAGTATAATTACAGTACAGTACCAGTACATTAGATAATGGAAATTTCACTATTCTATATGTACAGTAAACTGTAGCACATGTTGTACACCTTCAAGTATGTGACTGTCAAATATTATTTGTAACCATTTTTTAGGCCTATGTTTTCTGCATTTTTGCAGAACTGAGAATGACTGCCTAGAGACATAGTCTTGTGTTAGGAGACCAAGAAACTGCTATAGTACTGTGTACTGTAATGAAATTTGGCAGAATGTGCAGAGGATGCTAAATTTACTTTTTTAATTTTATTTTTTACTGTACTGTATTGTGGTGCATGCCAAGTTCATACAATTATTTGGTATGTGAACTTTTCTAGCTTTTCATCTACTGCAAGATTACTTTACAGTAGTAAAATGAAAATGATTTTCCCCCCAAATGTTCATTGCTGAATTATACATCTGTATCTGTAATTTAATTTATGTATACTGTAATAAACATTGAGCTGCAAAAATAATTCCTGAATCCTAGTAAGAGTTTTTTGTTTCAGTGTAATTGATCTCAATGTTCACTGGGCAGGAATGTCATCTGTGTATTTGAATTGTAAGCATTTACAGTCTTTTTCAACTGCTTACACACCAAATCTTTACTTGTCACACAATTTCTGAAACCTGACACTCAAACACCAGAACCACACACACCAAATCTGCAAAACCATACATTAATTATTGACCTTTGACTCAGTTTTCAATTTCATAAAACACTTTTTGCAAAACACAACACACAATTCTCTATGTAACACACAAAACAGGAATTAATATTATGGCAAAGGTGTTTGAAAATGTTTGCTTTTGAGATGTGTTTGTGATATTTTGAATGCAGTGCTTCATTTTGCAAGAGATGTGAGGCATTTTGCATTTTGTGTGTGCAATTCTTGGATTTGTGTGTAAAGTTTTGAAAAAAATAGGCAAAGTTTTGAAAATGTGTGTAAAAGCCGTTGAAAAAAAACCTGTAAGAAAAACTGTAATAACTAGATTGAAAAGTTTGAAAGACAATTTTATGCTGGCTTGTCTTAAAGTCTTGTTTAAAAATCATAAATGGTTTGATCAGTTAGATGTTCTAGATGTTTGCTGAAGTGTTGCTAGTTGGTTACTAGGATATTCTGGATGGTTGCTAGGCTCTTGCTATTCAGTTGCTGGGGTGTTGCTAGAGTACATGGTTGATAGAGTTTGTTCTGGGTGATTACAGACATGTTAATAACTGTTCTGTTAATAACAGAAAATCAAACATTGTTTTCAAAACTGATCCAGTATCAGTGCTAATGATTATGATGATTTAACAGATAACAGATACAAATGATTACAGTGCTAATGTTTCTTTCTAATGTTAGGAAATTCAAAAGTTTTTGTTGCTCTTAAACTTGCACTAAACGTGATTATACCATCTAAGTAGCCTATGTAATTTTAATAGAACCGCACGTCTTCTTTAGTGATACAAGCTCAGAAACATTTATAACCTGTTGAAGTTTTTTATGTTGTGTATTGACTTGGTGCCATGATGGATATTGAAATGTTGTTATTTATTTTTCCATTTTAAACAGCATAGATGATTACTTAATGGTAATATAATATTTGTGAACATAACTGTGTATGTCAGACCATAAATCCCCAAAAACTATGCATAGGGGCTTGCTTTGGTATTGCCACCCCTCATAGACCCCATGCCACCCCTTTGCCACCCTAAAAATTATTTTCTAGATCCGCCCCTGGGTAAAAAGACCAGGTGAATCATTTCAGCTGGTCTGTACTGCCTCTGGATATTCATTCAGTAGCTACTGGGCAGGTGTAGTGAGACAGGCACCTGGTAAAGGATTGGAAAGGGTTTCAACTATTGGCGGATCCAGTTCTCAGAAGTACTATTCCCAGTCAGTGCAGGGCAGGTTCACAGTGTCTAGAGATGATTCCAGCAGTCAACTGTATCTACAGATGAACAGCCTCAAGACTGAAGACACTGCTGTGTATTACTGCGCTAAAGAGTCACTGTGAATGAGTTCAGTGTCAAAGCAATACAAAAACCACCACCTTTCCTGTTGACTTCACTTATGCTCCAGATGTACTGTTCCATTTCCAAGAGGTGGCGCTCTTGTCAAGCAGTCTTAATTGACGTTTTAAATGTCACTGACTGAATGTTTTTCTAGACAGAGAAACAGACAGTCTAAGATTGAAATTCTGAAGAAACACAAATAAGCCTTAGCGTAGCTTCATCACAAATTATATTCTCATGTTTGTAAAAATTAATTATTTTTATTTTTGTCTGGATTTTTTGTTAAATATCTGTAAATTATCAGCTTTGATCAATGCATTTTATTTAAGAAGGAAAAAAGTCCATGAGTACGTCAAAATAAACGAATGTGAGAAATAACAAATTTCTGTAGTGCTGCTTTGAGATCTGTACATTTTTCATGCACTCACTATAAGGGACAAAGACTTTTGTTTAATTAGATTTTACATCTTACATTTTTAGTAAAATAGGTGTCAAGAAGAAACAAACAGAAGATATTTAATGATTTTTAATGGCTCATTTACAAAAAGCAAAGACTTCAGTGTTGTCAATTTAATTTAGGGAAATTTTCATTTTGTAGTTGTCATTTGAATTTAATTTGTTCACTAAAAAAGTATTGATGCAAATGTCCTTCCTTATGTAAACAGATGCAAGCGGACACAATAAAGAGCTCTTTAAGTCCTGCGGTGGAGACAGTCACAGGTCCCACCTGAGAGACAGAATCATGTACTTTAGATTATTGCTAATGATTTTATCTACAGCACCCAGTGAGTATCAGTATCAACACTATACTACAGGCTTATTAGGGAGTCTTGTAGCTGCTACTATTTAAAATATGATCAGAGGTTTTGTGACAATAATGTGCACAACTCATTTCAGTCAATGACAATGTTTTTAAATGTATGTTCCCAGGTGTTAATTGCATTGAGCTCAATCAGCCTGCTCTCATGGTGAAAAAACCTGGGGAATCATTTTCCATTGGCTGTAAGATCACTGGATATTCAGCATCAGGAGGTAGCTGTACTAACTGGATAAGACACTCAGCTGGAAAAGCGATGGAATGGATTGGCTGGTTCTGTAGTTCTGGAAATACAGGCACCAGCGACACAATGAAGAATAAGATCAGTTTCACTGCCGAAACCTCCAGCAACACAGTTTTCTTACGAGGTCAAAGCTTTCAGACTGAGGACACAGCTGTATATTATTGTGCACGCAATACACAGTGTCACAGATTGCCTGGGGACCTGTGCAATAATTATTGTATTGACTGCATAGACAGCTTGGAAACACAATGCAAAAGTATTGTAGACAGATAAAAAGTGCCTAGAATATCATTTATTAGCATTGTTTATTAGCATTGTATTATTACTCAGCTGCTGTATGACTGCTGCATTATTTATTTGCTTCTTCAATTTATTTGATCTTTAATTTATCTTTAACTATTTTTTTCACTAAACATTGTACATTATTTAATCAATTAGGCAATAAAGTAATATTTTTTAGTCATCAATGCTGACAGAACTGCATGTGTAGAATCTCAGTATTCTTCCAAGAAACACAATAAAATTCAAAACTTCCTACTTTTTTAATCACTGCAGGAATCATCTGGCATCACAGGGAATTTCAACTTGCATTCACACAAAGTAGGTGGTAGGTCTTGATTATTTAACAGCTATACAGAAAATGTATCTCAATTCATTTTTGGTCACAATATCAAAGGCTGCAGACAGTTTTAACTACAATAATTTGGATTTTTTTTCCCTCAGTGTTGGTGTAGTTACAGTGCTTTGCCCTTGTATGGCTGCACAGGTTAACAGCTGTGAGTCACTGAGAGTCCTGACGTTCAAATTCACCAATGAAAAGAATAAGAGGCAGCTATAAGGAATGGAATGGATCGACTGGTTCTACACTTCCAGCAGCAATTGTGTCACAGATTCTCTCAAAAATAAGACCAGTTTCTCTTCTGAATCCTCCAGGAATGCAGTTTTTTTTAAAGGGGTCATATGATGCAATTTAATTTTTTCCTTTCTCTTTGGAGTGTTACAAGCTCTTGGTGCATAAAGAAGATCTGTAAATTTGCAAAGACTAAAGTCTCAAATCCAAAGAGATATTCTTTTTTTTCTCTCTGTTTAAGTGTTTATTGTCAGGTTGTGCTCACACAGTCTGAGCAGTCAGTAACTGTGTCTCCAGGTGGATCTGTTAAACTGACCTGTGCATGTAGTGGATTCACTCTTAGTAGCTATAGGATGCACTGGATCCGTCAGGTCCCTGGAAAAGGACTGGAATGGATCTTACACTATTATTCAGACTCTAACAAAGGCTCAGCTCAGTCAGTGCAGGGCAGATTCACAGCATCTAAGGACAGCTCTAATCTCTATCTGCATATGAATCAGCTGAAGACTGAAGACACTGCAGTGTATTACTGTGCAAGAGACACAGTGGAAACACAAATACAGGCAGCTGTTCAAAAACTCATCGTGAGAAATTAGGTCATGTATTATTCAGACTCTAACAAAGGCTCAGCTCAGTCAGTGCAGGGCAGATTCACAGCATCTAAGGACAGCTCTAATCTCTATCTGCATATGAATCAGCTGAAGACTGAAGACACTGCAGTGTATTACTGTGCAAGAGACACAGTGGAAACACAAATACAGGCAGCTGTTCAAAAACTCATCGTGACTGTATTTTAGACTGTATTTCAATTTATTGTTTTTGTCATTTAATATAAAATAATAAATTACTCTGATACCATTTTTGCACTGTTTTTCTCATTCTTAAAGTTATTAATTCAGGTTAAAAACAACAACAGCTCAGCAGCTGTCTCAAATTTTTCTTAAAGGAATATTTTACCTAAAAATTATAAATCGCTGAAAATTTATTCACACTCACCCAAGATGTAGATGATCATTGGCACAAATCTGAAGAAACTTAACATTACATGATTTGCTCACCAATAGATCCTTTGCAGTGAATGGATGCCGTCAAAATGACAGTTCAATCAGCTGAAAAACTAAACAAAAAAACATCACAATAATCCACATGTAATCCATCAAGTAACGTGAAAAGCTGCAAGTTTGTAATGCTTGTAGTAAATATTTTGCAAATTTATATTTTTGGGTGAACTATTCCTTTAATGATGAAGTTCTCACCAGATGAACACCAATAATTCCCATAAGACACATAATAAAAACAGAATGTTTCTTATTAAAGAAATAATTTACCCAAAAATAACCAAAAATCAAAACAATGTGTCATTATGTCTTTTCAAACCTACACAAAAGGAGCAGTGCAGAAGTTAAATGACTACAATAATGATACATTTAATGCAATTTATTTGATCATTTTGGACTTTGACAGACTCAAACCTGTTTTATTTTATATGGAAAAAAGCAGGCCAAATATTTACTTTTCTGTTCCACAGAAGAAAGTAAGTCATATGGGTTTGAAACAACAGGAAATGAGTAATTAATGACAATGTTCATTTCTTAGAGAACCAGTAATTATTTATTTTTAATTAAAAATACCAGAATGTTACCAGATACACATTAAACAAATTAATAAATATTAGTGTTCAATATACAAAGATTTGAATTCATTACTTTGCATGCCTTGTGTGGATCCACAAAATGCATATGTAATGATGCCTCATCTAAACAAGACATCCCTAACTGAATATTTAATTATTTAAATGTTGGATTATGCAAATTCATCATTCTCTTGAACCCTTCATAATAATTTCTGTATCAGCTCAATAATTCAGTGCATAAACATGGAGCATAAAATGTTGGGATTTTCAATGATGTTACTTGCTTCTCAATGTATGATTCTAGTCTATATTGTTCAGAATATAATGGTCTGTTTTTATCTGAATTTATACACCGTGATCATGTTTTATTTTGCAGATTGTTGGTGTCAAACACTGACTCAGTCTAAGGCTGCAGTCATGAAACCTGGAGAATCCCATAAGCTCACAGTCTGGAAAAGAACTGGAATGGCTGGCATTGATCAGATATGATAGCCAGTCTATATATTACTCTCAGTCTGTCCAAGGACGGTTCACCATCTCCAGAGACAACAGCAGGAAGCAGGTTTATCTGCAGATGAACAGCCTGAAGAATGAAGACACTGCTGTATATTATTGTGCAAGAGAGACACAGTGACTGAAATGACTAGCGCTGTGCACAAAACCTGCCAAGACTGAAAACTAGCTAGAAAACAGCATTTCTGTAGGTCAATTGAGTCTGTCTAGTTCTGTACCCACTCTCACCAGAACACAACAAACAAACAAACAAACAAACAAAACATTTATTAATTTCACGGAAGTACAATTTCCACATCAATAGGTGGTACTATTGTCCATAAAATGAACCTCAACGGTCTCAAGCTCCTTTGACGCCACAGCTTTTTTTTTGTTGCTAATTCAAGGTTTTAATGCAAATGAACTGATGTCTGCTTCATATTTAAACAGCTACACTGTTGAGTGGAGGACTCATCACCAGTTCAGCCTTCATATAAACCATGTTCACTTCATTTCTCTTGCTGTTGCTGGCTGCTGTGTCTTGTAAGTAAATTCCCTGAACAAAGAAAGAACTGTTTTCTAAGTGTAAATGAATCCATATTCATAATTATTTTTTAAATGTTGTGTTTATCTGCAGGTATTGACTGTCAGGTTGTGCTCACACAGTCTGAACAGTCAGTAGTTGTGGCTCCAGGTGCTTCCTACAAACTGACCTGTGCCTGCAGTGGGTTTACTGTTAGTAGCTATAACATGCACTGGATCCGTCAGGCACCTGGAAAAGGACTGGAATGGATTATTTATTATTATTCAGATTCTGATAAGAGCTCAGCTCAGTCAGTGCAGGGCAGATTCACAGCATCTAAGGACAGCTCTAATCTCTATCTGCATATGAATCAGCTGAAGACTGAAGACACTGCAGTGTATTACTGTGCAAGAGACACAGTGGAAACACAAATACAGGCAGCTGTTCAAAAACTCATTGTGAGAAATGGGGCGGACATCCAAGTTACGCAAGCTGAGAATCTTGTAATCCTTACCCCACAAAATAAGCATGACACTGATACTACACTCTTAAAATTAAGGTGCTTAAAAGATTCTTCACAACAATACCATAGAAGAACCATTTTTGGTTCCACAAAGAACCATTCAGTCTAAGGTTCTTTAAAGAACCATCTTTTTTCTTTTTAAAATCTGAAGAACAGGCCCGGACTGGCCATCGGGAGCACCAGCAGAATTCCCGGTGGCCTGGCGGCTGATTTGGCCCGCTGCCCTGTTTTTGTTTTTTGTTTTTTTTTAGTTATTATTAAGTTGGCTTGAAAAAGCCAACTTACTGAAATCCTATTTAAACGTCTTCTTCTTCTTCTTCTAAATTTTCTTCGATTTTAAAGTGTATCAAAATGCTAGTAACTTGCTAATCATGCTATAAACATGCTAGCAACTTGCTTAACATGCTAGAATCATGCTAGGGGCATGCTAGTAACTTGCTAATCATGTTAACAACATGTTAGTACCTTGCTAATCATGCTAACAACATGCTAGTAACTTGCTAATCATGCTATAAACATGCTAGCAACTTGCTTAACATGCTAGAATCATGCTAGGGGCATGCTAGTAACTTGCTAATCATGTTAACAACATGTTAGTACCTTGCTAATCATGCTAACAACATGCTAGTAACTTGCTAATCATGCTATAAACATGCTAACAACATGCTAGTAACTTATTAATCATGTTACCAACATGCTAGTAACATGCTAATCATGCTAGAGACATGCTGGTAATTTCCTAATCATGCTAACAACATGCTAGTAACACCCTAGCAACCACCCTGAGTACCCTAGCAACCACTCTGGGTACCATAGCAACCACCTAACAACACCTTTGCAACCACCCAGGGTACCATAGCAACCGCATAGCAACATCCTAGCAACCAGCTTGAGTACCGTAGCAACCGCATAGCAACACCCTAGCAATCACCCAAAGTACCTTAGCAACCACATAGCAAAACCCTAGCCACGGCCCTGGTTACCTTAGCAACTGCATAGTAACACCCTAGCATCCACCCCAGGTAGCCTAGTAACCACATAGCAACACCCTATCAACCATCAAGAATACCCTAGCAACAGCATACCAACCTCTTAGCAACCACCCTAAATACCCTAGCAACCACATAGCAACAACCTAACAACCACACTGAACACCCTAGCAACTGCATAGCAGCACCCTAGTAACCAGCATGGGCACATAAGCAACTGCAGAGCAACAGCCTAGCACCCACCCCAAGTACCCTAGCAACCACATAGAAATAGCTTAGCAACTACCCCAGGTACCCTAGAAACACCCTAGCAACCACCTTGAGTACCCTAGCAACCACCCTAGAAGCCACCCCAGGTACCGTAGCGATCTGTTTTTCTATGTTCTTCTGATAGACTGTATTGCCTTCAAAACATTCAAACTTTAATCTTTAAAAATATTTTAAGTATTTCAAACTATACTTCAAACTGAAAACCTTCAAACTCCAAGCTTTTAAAACTTTTACAAACTTTCTGGCAAGGCTTTTTCAAGCCAATTTAAAGTTTGTCTACGAACTATACTATCTAGTTATTAATATTTTATATTTATGCCTTCTTAATGTACCAAAGTGATAATTTCCAATTTTTTCATTCGATAATAAATCGATAATAAATCGGTCTTGACTGTCAGCGCTGCGCTATACGAATCAGCTCACGTGTGTTCCTTGCTTCCGTCAAACGATTTCGAACAGAACCGATGCGTGGGGCTTGATGAAAGAGAGAAAGCGGACAGAAGAAGCAGTGAAATGTAGCAACATCCCTGACCTGTTCAGGGCTTCAAGTGCAGGTCAGTTTCATCTATAAATACGCTAGATAGTTTTGTCTTTATTAACGTAGTTGAGTAATAAACTGCTAGTATCTGTCAGGCTATCAGGAGCACCCCATTATTATCATCATTTAGAATACTGTGCTAAAGGACATCAATATCGATTGTAAAGTTACATTAAAAAATTTAGCAGAGAGATATTCACATGGATTTATTGTACAGGGAGGGAGGGAGCTAGAGCAGACAGACAGCAACACAAAAACAATAAAACAATTTTAAATAGTAAAAATATTTCACAATATTACTGCTCTTGCTGTACTTTGGATCAAATAAATGCAGGCTTGGTGAGCATAATAACATAAATAATGTATACAGAAAAAAAGGGACCAAAATTACACCTTTTGGGGTACAACAGCTTGTCACTGGAACAGTACCCTTCAAAAGGAAATCTTTGTTCCTCTTTTACCCCTAATAGGTAGGCCTACATATTAGTACCTTAAGGGTACGAATGACTACTCTAAGGTATTAATATGTATCTATTAGGGGTAAAAAGGTACAAAGATGTCTTTTTAAGAGTACTGCTCCAGTGACAAGCTGTTGTACCCCAAAAGGTACAATTTTGGCCCCTTTTTT